GCCTTCTCAAAATAAGCTACAAATTAACAATACAGAAATGGTCAACACGAGAACCATCTGGGAAAAAAAAAATTAATTTGCTGAAATTCTCCAACTAGATGTTATCATCATTAAGATGTTGCATGTTATTTTGTGCACTTTATTGTCACAATATGTTATTGATTCTTCTCGATTTAGAGACTTCTGCATGCAAACAGCTGAACGATATGTAAACCAGTATCCATGGTACCACATGCCACAGAGCCTGCACCGAATTCTTATTCATGATTGGCAAGTTGTGGATCGAATGGCTTTGCCAATTGGCATGCTCAGTGAAGAGGCACAAGAAGCACGTAACAAGGACTTCAAGAAGTTCCGGGAGTCTTTTTCAAGAAAGTGCTCCCGTTCTAAAACAAATAAAGACTTGTTAAGGAGATTGATGTGTTCATCTGATCCAGTTATTAGTAATTTGAGAACACCACATCATTCAAAGAAGAAAAACTTTCCAGATGGAGTGCTAGAGCTACTAAAAGAAGTGCCACTTAAAGATTTTGTGTAAATATATTATATTATTATATTTTTACTGCAATGTTACTTGAATTGTGTTTCTGTTTTCATTTTTTCTGCTTATCTGTTTACTATATTATTGCTAAAAATTAACGATGTTATAACGACATTTTGTTTACCCCATTGTAACTAAGCAATATAATTATCCATAGCAACAAAATAAAAAATATCACCTTCATAAAAAATGCACACATCATATTAGTATTCATGCCAAATTTAGTAAATATAGCACTCGTAAAATATCTACAAATACCAAAAATAGGTTGTTGCTAAGCAAAATAAAGGCATCCATAGCAACAAAATAAAAAAAAACACCTTCATAAAAAGTGCAGACATCATATTAGTACCCATGGTATAAGTGACGTTCTTGAGACAGCTAGGTAGGCATTATAAGGGTCCGTGGCAACCGCAAACAGGGCTGTCCCGAAGAGGTCTTCCATGGAGGGGGGTTAGTATTTTTCCATGGAGGGGGGTAAGCATTTTTTTGCCAACTAAGGACACACACACACAAAAAAAAAAAAGGTGCTCAATACTTGCAATTTGTCAACTATAAATATAGCAAACTATATTTATATTTAAATTTGCCAACTATAACTTAATATAAGTATAGTTGGCAAAATGTCAACTATATTAATAAATATAGTTGGCAAAATGCCAACTCAAAAAGCATTTCAGTTGGCATTTTGCCAACTATATTTATTATATCAACTCAAAAAGCATTTCACATTGAGCAAAACTTGCTCAATGTGCCGACTCAAATGCTTATATGAAAGCTTTTTTTTTAGGAAGGGGAAAGGGGGTGGGGGGAGGACTCCCTTCCTTCGGGAAAGCCCTGACCGTGAATCATTATGGCTACTCAACGCAATTAAGGCATAGAACAAGCAAACTCGTAAAAAAAAGCCGATAATTTTAAACAAATCCGATTGGTTGTTAGTGGCAAAGCGGAGAACTTTTTATTTATTGGTATTTAATTTATGCAAATAATGAATTCGTAAATAATGGCAAAATTTTTTAAACAACCGAAACGTCATAACAGGAGATAAATCAATATAATTATAAAGATCTTGAAGTGTTTGTTTGACATAATTTATAAACCTAATTACATTTTAACATATTTTTGTTGGTATATTTTAAAAAAATATGTTACCTTTGCAAAAACAGCTGGAATGAATTATGTAATATATATTTCCATTTGCGCAGTGGTAACAGCAAAAAGTATTTATTTTAATACATTACTGAAGTCATAGTAGCTACTTGTATTGACTTAGTTCTCAATGATATAATTGTTTTTATAATAATAAGTTAAAAGTAACTTATGTTACTTTTAAATTATTATTATAAAAATAAAAGAAACCAAATGTCAATTAAAATTTACTACTGACATAAAAACGAAACAAGTTTGAAATTGAAAGTAATTTGTTTATAAAGTTTACCCCCACTGTTTTTAAATTGTTTTCAAGATGGCCGATTAAGTCCTGAGTATTTCAAAAAATGATAAAAAATACCGAAAACAGTTTTTTGAATGGAGCTAAAAGTTATGATTATTTATGCAAAGACTTTCGTAGAAAAATTAATACTACCATAGTCTATCTTAATCTAACGTGACCATTTTGTTAAACATACTCATTTAGGTGTAGTATAGAAAATAATAATATTAATTTTCATAAAAAAATGATTTTTTGTGGATAATTTTCCTAAATAATGTCTGATTATAAATGTCAAGTTACATTCTTTGCTTTAAAATCCACAGACTTATCTATTGCCAAGCCCCAAGGTACTTTATGTTGAAAATTACATCTTTTCTAAATAAAACTACGCTTGACGATTTGTTATTGTCGCATTACTTTTACCAGATTATAATAGCAGTTTAAATAATCTTTCCATACACACCAAATATGTAATTCTTTTTTTGAAGAAAAAACTTACATGTATTGTAATTGAAAAAACTTAAATTTTTGTTCGGAAAAACGTGTACCAGGCCTTAGTTGCATTGAGTAAGGAAACGATAGACTTTGAAACGCTGCGTGTTCTTTGAAATTGCTAATAAATCTTTACCACGCAATTATTTTGACGAAAAAAAAAAAAAAACTCCGATTCCGCATTCCATCAAACTTTAGAGCTGTTGTTCAAACTCTTATTCAATCTGGAATCCGGTTTGCCCACCCCAGTTCTATTTCCTATATATATAAATCATTGGTAGTCCCCACCTTAACTTATGGTATGGAGCTATGTGAAAATAATCCTGGTCTGATGAAAAAGCTAGATATAATTGGAAGGAGTGCGCTAAAATCGTTTCTAAATGTTTCAAAACATAGTAAAAACTATATGAATTCGTTATTTAAAATCCAGGAAATTTCAAAAAGTGTTCAACAAAATAAGTTAAACTTGTTCCTTCGACTTCTTAATAACAAAACAACTGCAGACATTATCTTTTCACAACTGCAACACCCGTTATTTCAACATTCGTTTGTTAGTGATATTCAGGAACTATGCCGTCTTCAGATATTAATTTTTCAAAACCTAATTCAAAATAAAAAGAAGGTAAAAATACCACTTTCTAAAAGTAAAATTCCTTCCGAAGTTGAACGAAACTTGAAGTATGCAATAGAGTGCTGGAATGCAAAAGAGCAAAGAGGAGTTTTCAAGCAAATTCTGGAAGAAAACGTTTTTAAGCAAAGTCATCCGAAATAACTTTCTTATTTTTTTCTTTTTACCTTGTAAATTGGGTGTTAAATAAATAAAATAATAATAATATTTTGATAAACAAAACTTTTAAAGTTTACGGGTAGACAATGTGTAATAAGCATTCAAAAAATTAAACCCAAAAATGTAAATGTGTAATGTAAACCATGCGCAGAAGCATCTTTTTTTACCTGTTCAGACATTTGACAAATCTATTCTGGTTTTAAAACTGATATTTGCTTTGCTATATGCTGTTTGATTTTAAGGATTTATTTCTCATTGTTTTCTTTAGTAAACTCCACGTATGTAGGTCGACAGAATCTAACACCTTGGGGTAAAAGATATAGCAGCATTAAATTTTTTGTGTTATTATAAAGTGTTAGCTGCAATGTTGTTGTCGCTACTATTATTAAATATATTAAATACAACTATCATTGATGATATTTAGAGTTTCTAGAAGCTACATCTAGTCTCATAGAACTCAATAATATTAAATAATTACCTTTAATGTGTTCTTCTGAATGCTTTAAAATAGTTGATTAGCACAAACAACATGTTTGATAACTTTAGATGTAAAAACAGCTTAATTGAATGAATTAGTTAACAGTTTTGTTTTTTACAGCAACGTTTTTATAAAAAGTATCAAACAGATAAAGCTAACTTATTTAAAATAACAAGTCTCTCAGGCTCGTATTCTAATGTCCAAGATTCAAATCAATTAATCTTTTGGTTATTCACGAGAGCCTATCATTCTAGTATGATAAACTTTCTTGTTCTAGTTAAATCTTTTGGTGAACGGTATATTTTTTTGGTGAGCGGTATATTTTCTTTAATTTTTTAAATAGTCCTGTAGCTTGTAAATCTAGCAGGTACTCTCATGTGTGTATCGTGATATGAACTTTCATGATATGAAAAATCGAAGAAATACCAAAACGCTTTATATTTTGAAAACATATTTGAATTGCTCCAGTTTAGTGTTTTATAATTCTGTTAAGAAGCTTAACCATGATGTAGTATTAATTACTATTTGTTGTTCTGTTTTCAACAAGTAAAATTTGTTGAATTGAATCTGTTTTAAAATCAACTTTGGCATCAGCTATTCATCGTTTATCTCTGCTACTTCATTCAGTAAATTCCTTTGATAAAAGTCCTGTTTTTGTTTCTAATTTGAAAAAATAGTATATTTTTTGATTGGAAAAGCTAGGCTGTCTAATAATTCTTCAATCAAGAGGGTGAGAAAGGTGCGGCTACATCTTTGACTAAATTTTTCTTTTCACTATATTTTTAAATTTAAAATAGATATTAGTTTTTAACTTTTTTCTTTTGAATTTTACTTTTAAAGAGTTTTAAAATGATATTAACACCCACTAAATTAACACTATCCACCCACTAAATTAACACCTTTTAATGAAAAATAATACTGTCCCTTAGGTTAAAAAGTTAAAAAGTGGGATTGAAAAGCCAAAAAGCCATTTGTATAAAAATATTTAAAACTTTGTTAAACAAAGAACTATTTTAAATTTACTTATAAATTGAAAAGATTTTTTCAATTTAAGGAAATAATTTCTGTGAAAAGTTTCTTGATAAACATCTTTAACTAAAACCTACATACAAAAATAAATATCTCCATAGAAATTATATATACAATATATACATACAGATTTAATCTTTTTTAAATTCTGCATTATGACAAATAGCGTCTGTTTAAAAAGTGAACAATTATCACAGTCATTTATGATATTTATGTTTAGTTAATAAAAAACCTGCAATAATGAATAAGAAGCCCCTAAACCTTTGCGATACTTATATATACACTTTATATAAATAAATTATTTCATGTAGGATATAAATATTATGTCATCCTAGGCTAATCTGCTTTTATAAAAAGTCACGAGATAGAATATACGTATTAAAATTTATCCACCGTCATTAAAAGCCATCACGAGGAGTATATGTAATGACAGTCATCCTGAACTAATCCACTATCATTGAAAGTTTGGTTAATACTCGCTTCTTTTTTTAACAGCTTAAGATTGTCCTCTAAATTCTTTGAATACTTTTCTAATCTTAAAATTTTTCCTTTCATCTTCAATAGTTTATGATCTAGTTTTTGTCTATTACTCTCGCTTTTTGCTTGGGTCGTTAAGTTATTTCGTTTTGCCTTTTCAAATTCGGTTGTGATAAAATTGCTTTTTTCGCGTAACTCCTTCAGTTGAACTTTACACTTCTGACAAGTTGCCTTTAGAATTTTGTTTTCATCAATCAACGCGTTATTAGATTCAGTAAGGCATTGAATTTTCCAATGTAAACTATTATTTTCTTGGAATAGGTGCCCGCTTTCGTACTTTTCAACTATATTCGTTTTTTCTTTTTTAATAGTTTCCAGTTCTTCTTTAATTTGCTCAACAATTTGTATTGGAACCATCTCAACAGTACTGCTGCAACCATTCGTATTTGTATTACACACGTTAGCTATAGATAATTCTTTGTTGTTGATCATCGATGCTAACTTCATAAGATCAGTGTACTTTATTTCAGGTATATTGATGATTTCCAAATCTTCTTCTTCATCCACGGCGATTGTAATTTCAAATGTTTTCTTATTCTTTTGTTGAAGAACATGTATTTGTTTATAGCTAGCATCTGGTTTGATTTCGTTGGATATCTTTTTGCTTTCTTCGGAATCAAGTTTAGCTAATTCTTGAATTAAAAGTTCAATCTGTTTTCTTTGCTCCCTTATCTGAGTTTCCTTTTGAGAAACTTGTATTTCAAGTGAACTGATTGTTTCTGCCATTTTTATTTTTTCCTGGATAAGCTCTTTAACTCTGGACGCACGGCAGAGTTTGATTTCTTTTACTGAGGAGATTGGTTGATCAATATAAGAACTACGTACATTATTAACAAGTTTTTTTTGTTCTTTTTTTAACGTGTTAATTTTTTTTGTAATGTAAGCAGGTATATTTTGAGCAATAACTTTGTTTGAGGTAGTATTTTTTTGAAATATTTTAATAGACTCTTCAATTGACTCTTCAGGTTTTTTTTCGCCATCATCATTATGAGCTACTTTGTTTGATCTAATACGAATTTCTTTTATAGCAGCTTCATGTTTGACAAGATTTTCTGTAATCTTGAATAGTTCTTGCTCTAAGGACGAGATATCTTCGGCTGATCCTGGAGGTCTTTTATGCAACTTATGATCACAAATCAAACACAGCCAGTTGCAAATGGACAAAATATCAGTTGCAAAGGCTTGCATCTTGCTTTCAACTTCAATATTTTTATCTTCCATTTGTTTCGCTTCTATATATTTCTGTAGCAGCTGAGCATTTGAACTTTCTTTTTCTTTCAAAGCATCATTTTCAAATGTCAATTCTTTTATATCTTTATCCAATTTTTTAATTAAATCTTCTTGTTCACTAAATTTAGCTTTATAGTACTCAAGTTCTTTTTGATACCAATTTATCTGAGTAACTTCCTCACTGTAATTATTTTTTGCATTATTGATCGTTCGAGTTTCACTTTCATTATGTAAAAAAGTATTTATTTGGCGCCTAGCATAATCTCTTTCCGACATAAGAGTCATTTTGTCATTCTGCACTTTTGTAAGTTTGTCATTTAAACACATATTTTCGTTTGTCAAGTTTTCAAATTTGTTTGCCAAAGACGTATATCTAAAGCAGTTATGCTTAATATATAATAATTTAATAATAATTATGCAGTTAATTAAAAAAAAACAAATAACGTAAACACTTTTTATACTGAATACTGCTAGTATTCAGTGTAAAAATTTTAAACTTTGAAATGTCAAATGCAGAAAATTCCTAATGATTGAAATTATCAAAATTTAAAACTGCTGTTTAAAATATTTAAAAATATTGAAAGCATAATAAAAATATTAAAATTATAAAAAGATTAAAAAAAATTATCAAAATTAAAAACTGCTGTTTAAAATGTTTAAAAATATTGAAAGCATAATAAAAAGAAACAATATTACAAAACTAATAAGTAAAATAAAGGTAATATAAAGGTAATAGAAAAAATAAAATAAAAGATAAATCTAAATAAAAAAAAAAAAAACATGTGCCTTTTCTAATTATTCATTAAATTAAAAATAACAATGATCTTTAAAAATGAATATATTATTAAGTATATTGGAAAAATTGGTTTTGATTCTATCAACTAATCAATTCTTTAATCAAATCAAAAGAATAAAAAAAAAAACAGACCTTTTTTCTAATTCCCCAAATTCTGATTTGCTAAAATAGTTGTCCAACTCAGTTACATCAGAGCAAGAACTTTGAACGTTGTCGTTTCTAGGAGCTGTGTATCGTTTAGTTAAAGTAAGCGGATAATCAAAAGAAGAAATCTTGCTTCTTCGTCTAATAAGTCTAGTAGGGAGCAAATTATTCTCAACAAATTCGTCTGGTCGATCATGTAACATTTCATTATTTGATTCACAGTCAGTAAAAATTTCAACGCATTGTGTTGACCACATTTCTTTCTTTGTTTTAACTGAATGACTTCTACTTAAAGGTGATAACTAAATGAAAAATGAAATAAAATTACACACACAAATATATATATATATATATATATATATATATATATATATATATATATATATATATATATATATATATATACACACGCATATTTACAATATTAATTGATTTATTAAACTTTTTATATTTAAAAAATTATTGAAACAACAACATACCACACATTTTTCTTGACTTTGTTTTTCGAGAAATTCTTTTTCTTTTTTCATTTGATTAACTTTGATTCGTTCAAAGCGAGCAGAATCTGCCATTGACGAAAAATCAGAAAAATAAGCATCTTCATTTGAAGAAAGAGAAAATGTGTTATCAGGATCCCATATTTCTTGTTCTATAAACGATGATGCGATGAACGACTTTTTGTGTGTGGAATTCGGAAAACTAGAGTGCCATCTTGAAGATTCCAACAGTATACGTGTAATTTGAAAGATTTGTAAAATATTAAGAAAATTGTGAATAAGCATTGCAATTTTATCTAAAAAAAAATTTAAAACAAGTGCATTAAAAAGTATGCACTATTTCCAATTATATCTAAGAAACAAAAAACTTACCAGATATTTTTGTCCTGTTTAAAATTCATCTTTATTTTTAGTTTTTTCAAAAAAAGAAAAAAAGTTTTAAGTCTGTGAAGTTGATTTTCTTTTTTTAAATGAAAAAAAGAAAATCAACTTCACACTAAACATTTAACAGAAAAACAAAGAAAATCTTAAAGAGCAACAAAAAGTTTGATAAAAAACTTTTTAGAGCCAGAAAAACATGTAAACAAAACATGTAAACAGAAAAACATGTAAACAAAAGAGAATTTCAAAGTAACAATGCTAAAAAAAAAAGAGTAAAAGTTTATTGACCATAAAGACACAGTTAAAGCAGGTTAGAACAGGTACAGTAAAATTCAAATTTGCTGAACAATAAGTTGTGCAAGATTAAATTTTAGTTGATTAAACAAAAGATAAACTTTAGCAACAACTATTACTACAGTGTATTTGTAATTTGTAGAATTGAAAAGAAATCCAACAACATGATCATACAACAATCATGAAAAAGAAATCCAACAACACAACCATACAACAATCATACAATGATGAGATAAAATCTCAAGCTTGACAACTAGATCAACTACATCAACAATGTACATTTGGAATCCCCCTCACACCTCCCCTCTCTGATATAACATTTTCCATACAAAAATATATAAGAGATTTAGAATCAGTATCAAGAAAATTACTTTGCAATAAAATGTTAAAAACATTTTTTATATGAAGAAATATTTCTTAAAAATTTGTATAAAATTGATTTTATCTAACTATATAAAAGTGATAAATTTACATAAAAAACTATTATTATATTGAGATTAATTGTAAAAATATCTTATATTGATATACTAAATATCTTATATCGATATACTAAATACCTTATATCGATATACTAAATATCTTATATCGATATAATAAATATCTTCTGTTGATATACTAAATATCTTATATCGATATACTAAATATAGTTTGCATAAGTATAGCATAACAACTTTATCAAAAATTTCTTGTTACTAGACTGAGAGTATTATAAAGGAATGATGAAATAGCTTGAGAGGGTGATAAAGGAATAATGAAATAGCCTAAAATGATTAAAAAAGAATGATGAAACAGCTTGAGCAGATGATAAAGGAATGATGAAATAGCCTGAGAGGATGATGAAACTGTGTGAGTTGTACCTATCATTAAATGTAAAAATTCTCATTAGCTTATTGGTTAAGTATTGAGGTGATTAAAAAAAAACAAAAAAACAAACTATTTTCTTAAACATGAATAAAAAATTTTTAGCGAGTACAAAAATATTTCAAACTTTCAAGATCTTGTTTACATTTAGTTTTCGGCAATTTCTACATGTTTCTTAAGTTTTTACAAATTCATCCTTACTTAAAAATGCTCTTCTTATAAGTGTGTACTTAAAGCTTCTTTAACTTCCTTTACATAATGCTTAACAGGTTGCCCTTCAAATGGCCAATTAGATTTTTGTAAAAACTGTTTGATTTCAGAAGTTATATAGGTAGTTAGATAATGATCATGATACCAGATCTACCAAAATCTTTGCATTTTGGTGATGAATCAACATGAACCTTTTGTAAATCTTCATTTCCAGTCCCTCAAATATCTACTATCTTATTACTATCTTTTTCAATACATGAACACAACAATGTTTGAAGTATATAATCACAAATAAATTCTCCTGATCTTTAAATGGTTGTCAACCCTTTTTCAACATCTTTTTTAAGAAATTAGAGTTGCTGGTAAAGTACATGTTTGCAATTCAATTCAGTTCAAGAATGTTTAACATTAGTCATAAACCAACAAGGAAATTAAACAACCATAATAAACACAGTAATAGTCCTTTAATTCTGTACCTTTAATGAGATTTTTAGAGATTCATATTTTGCTAGAAGAAGTCAACAATCTTAAACAATATTTTGCTAGAAGAAGTCAACAATCAAAAAAAAAGAAACACCACCAATTCCTAATAATAAATGTAGTTTTGGTAGTAAAACCCTACTTCTAATAGCAAAAATAACTTTTTAACCATGAAAATGATTCTCAGATTGAAGTTATTTTTTATTTCATATTAAGCAACAAATAATTTAATTTCATAACATAAGTAACAAAAAATAAGTGGATTACCTATTTTAATAGGTTCAAATGATACTCCACTTGCAAATCAGAAATTTAAATACTGCAAATCAGTATTTAAATTTCTGCAATCACCGCAAACAATTGGCAAAGATTTGTCAATACCCCTCTCAGTCAATATTATTAACTAAATTTAATTCATATTAATCCCTCATTTCTCCCATCAAAGAAAATATATTTAACTTTTCCCCTTTTTGTAAAAATTAATAAAAATTATCAAACTTTTTCTTGTGCTCTAAAAGTTTTACAATAACTTTTATTAGAAGATGTTATGAACCAATATCTGTAAAAAGCATCAGTTTAACTCCTTTTTTTCCTGGAAAAGCAATTTCTGAAGCCTTAATCCACAATGCCATTATTTTATCACAAGTAGTTAAATTTAAAACTAGCACTCAACCACTGATGTTATAAAGCTTGTAGCATATCTTTGGCAATCTTATTTATTGGTTGGTTTATTTTGAACCAAATAAAATACTTATTTTTGTACTAAATTTTTCCTGGTTCTAGATGCCATCTTCTAGTTCCATCTTCTAATTATTTTAATCTATAACATTCTTTTAATTTAGTAAAAAAATATAAATTGTTAGCTAGAAATCGACTTTTTAATTTGAATGCTTAACAATATATGTTATCATTACAATTATCAAGTTAGCAAACAATTAAGTAAAAAGAATGTAATATAATATAAAATATAATATGACCACTATAAAAATGAAAAGAATTTTAAACAATTATTTTATAAATTATTTTGTTAGTCTTTTTAAAATTTCATTTTGCAATCCTATTAAAAATACTTTTTTTAATTTTTTATATATTGAGTTAAATATTTTTGTTTATAACTTTTTTATTTAATATTGTCTGGTAACCTTTTTATACTTCTTAAAATAAAAAAAGAAAACTCTTCCAAAATAAGCAAATTTAGTCTGAATTAGTAAATTTTAGCAAATTTACTAATTCAGAAAATGGAACCAGCTTTTATTTTTTAAACCGGATTCAGATTCTCAATAAAATTTTTACTTATACCCCTGATTATTTTATTAAAACTTTTTTTTTAAAAAAATGTCTAAAAATCAACACACCCTAAGTAGTGGAGGATAATCTGGAGAAATGAAGTAGAGGACTGGGTAAAAGTGTTGCAATTCATCATTGTAGAAATATAAACAAAATTGTGATAATTAATTGGAAACCCCTAGCTGTCACAGAAGAAAGATCACACTCAAAATCAACTGTCTGTTTTAAGCCAACAAAAAGAAATATTTTTTCGTCATGACTAGAATACTTAGTTGTATCATCTGCAAGAAGATATATAAAAAACATCACATAAAATACAACTTTGATACTGTGGTTAAAAAAATAATTAAAAATTTTTTAAAAACAAATACAACATTAAAGGGAGGGTCAACAATAGAATAAGAGAATCAAAAAAAGAAAAAGATTTTGTGAAAAAATAGTTTTACCTTTATCAGAACATTTGAGTGAGATGATTTGTAAAGCATTGCTCACTTTTTTGTATAACGAACTCTCTTTATCTAAAAGTTGTACAGTAAACAATAGTTATCTAAAAGTTATATAGTAAAATATAGTTGTCTAAAAGTTATATTGTAAAATATAGTTGTCTAAAAGTTAAAAAATCAAGAAATGCTAAAAGTTAAATACAATGAACTATATTTATTTAAAAGCTTAACTTAAGTTTCACAATGAATAGATTTATGTTAAACTTATGTGTTTAACTGACCTGGTTTATATTCTGTGTTCTCAATTTCAGCTACAACCTTTTCAAGAACATTTTCAATGTCTGTACATATTTCAGAAATCATATAAGCAGATTCGATAAACAAATCGTTTTTATCTGCTCTTTTTATGTGCAGAATTTCACTTTTTATCTTTGCCATCTTTTGCAGGCTTTCTTCTATTAAGGTGTCATAGCTATACACTTCAGAACAGCTTTTCTCTTTACCAGAAATTAATGCTTTTTGTGTTTTGGCAATTGACGATATTGCCATTGTAAACAGCGCCATCGCTGATGTAGAACGCAGTGTATCATAGTTGCTACTGTGTTGATGAAGATTTTCATTATTTTCGGTCAGCAATTCTAGCATTCCATAGATATCTAATGCATGTTCTGCACACTTTATTATAATGGTAGGAACAGTACTGTTTGTTTTTTCAATTGTATTCTCACCATCAGTCTAAAAGAAATTAGTAATCCCTTTGTTTTACATGAATTTAATATTTCATTAATAACCAAATAAATTTAAATAAATAAGAAATAAAAAAAATTTACATAATTTAAAATACTTCTAACTTTACCTGGGTTTCAGTAGCAATGTTTAATCCGTTTATTGAGCTGGAAATAAAGTCGCGAATAGGACGTGCTGACTGTAATTCTAATTCTAATAGTAAAAAACACACTATTTAAAAATAATATATCGTAATGTGATGAGATTTAAAATGTGCTTTAAACCTCATTACTACTATTAAGCTAATGAAAAATTGTAGTTCCCATTTCCCCTACAGAAATTGTAGTTCCCATTTCCTCTAAAATAATTAATTTTCATGTTAAATTAAAAAAAATTTAAACCTGCAAATCAAAAAATTATAAACCTAAAAATTGTGCTTAAAAGTTGTGCCTAAAAATTTCTCTATTTTTTAGTAAAAAAATGATTCCTTATAAAACAAGTCAAAGTACTAAATTTTTACATGTTAAAGAAAATATTATTATTAGTTAAAAAGTGTTCATAAAAAGTTGAATTTTCGATAGCTGTTTTACAAATGCTTTTTTGTCTAACACAGAGTAAATAGGCTTATTTGGCAGCACTGAAACCCCATTGAAACGTATTTTGGTATAAATAAAAACATCCTTCTTCAACTCTTAAAAGTTAAACTTATATATGGTTTCAAATCATAAAATACATGAATAAAAAAAAAGGCTTTTAAGCCATCTTAAAAGAGTATTGCTAAAATTTTCTTACAAATTTTACCTTTAGCCTAAATGATTACATTTTTTTTTCATTGCATCAAAACTAGTCCTACCGTATCTTTTTAAAAATGTTTCTTCAAACGTCTATCTAATAGCTATTAATTGCTATAAAGCACAGAACTTAAAGTACAACTAATATGTTGTTTTTCATTTAAATAATTAAGAAATAAACATAAATTACGAAATCCATAAATCAATTCTCTTTAATTTAATTGTAAGTTATTCATAGATTTCTTTTTGCAGTTTCTCCAAATGTAACTTAAAAGTTAATGTTTTCTAGTTTTTTTTTGTCAAGAGGCAAGTCCATTGAGTTAATTCAACCTTTGTCAACAACCTTTTTCTCAAATTTGTTATAGAACCCACTTTTTTTTCTTTTTTCTTTGAATACTTGTAAAAGAGCTTTAATTATTTGATTTGATTTGTACAGACCAATGTTGTTCTTTAGTAGGTCTAAACTCAATTCTGATAGTTCTTGGAGAGAATTACACATCAATCCTAAATCGATTAAAAACTACATATATGTAATTTTCTTTTTTAAACCTTCATTAGTAGATTTTTTACCTTTGTCCCTTGTAATCAATTGTTTCTTCAAAATAATTTACCAGTGCTTCATAATTTTTCTGTACTGCAAAAACTAAACAGAAACTAGAATAACAACCACTCCAAAATTCTATCAATTTTTAACAGTTGAATATTAGGTAATTCTGGGAATGAATGTAACTCTCTGCTAATTTTGGAGGAAACATCATACATGAAGAAAAGATTATCAAGAAATGGTTTGAACCAATTAATAATTGAAATCTCCCTGAAAAAGTATTGCTTACTAATAATTCCAGTCTATGATTAGCACTATGCTGAACTATAACATAAGAAAACCTTTCAGCAAGTAATTTGAAGTAAACTATTAGTGTCAACTTTTGGCATATGTTTTGATTTTATGACTTCTGTAATAATTTTTTTCCTTGTTCCAATACCTATATGATTGACAATATTAATGCATTTGCTTGTAGAATGAATACAAACTATTTTAACTGTGTTAATTTCTTGAAGATTAATTTCCATTTCAAATTTATTAAAGTTTCTTTTTTTTTCAACTTTATACTAGTTAAAAAATTTTTGCTGTTACAATTTTTTCACGCATTAAAGACATTAAAATATTGTTTGTAAGAGTCTCATACTTAATCTTCTTCTACCATCTTTACGCAGTATATCAAGCAGATTTTTTGTGTTCAAATATTTTCATACATAGTGAACTCAACTGTTGCTTTCTATTTTCACCATGGTAAGACCAATGGACCATTCTTTAGATATTTTCATTCCTATCTTAGGCTATATACCAAGTGTTTTCACTTTTTGGCAGGTAGTGCCTGGTAACCTAGCTTTTTTTGTTGAAAACAGAGTCACTTATTTCTGGAACAAAACCCTGTTTTTAGCTTTAATATCCAGCAACTTGGTCAGTTATAGTTGTTGTAATTGTCCCTTAAGGTAAATTGACGTTGTAATTTTGATTTCCTTTGTTTCTTTTGCATTTGATTTGTTTTTTTCTTAACCAGAGAGTTAGTCAAGAAAAAAATGATGATTTTTTTCATATTTAGTTTGCATTTTTTTGTTTAATTGATATTTTTATATCACTTTTTAAATATATCAATTAAGTTATAACTTTAAATTTAAAACACCAATAACAGGAAACTTATTGACAATTTTAAAAAGTTGCAAATAGCGTAAAACTTATGCTTTAAAAATAGATTTTTTAAAGTAATTTTTGTTCAGCGTTTTGAAAAGAAACAATAAAATTTCTTAAAAATGCACTATTATGACAATGTGATAATGGTAGAAGGTTGGCTGCAAAAGTAGGTCCAACTATGTTTACAACTATATGTTTTTACACTTTGTCTAAAAGAGAAAGGGCATCATAAGAATATCCGCCCCTGATATGGCAACAGTATTCCATACAAGGACAGATTTGAGGTTTATAGAGATAAAGAATAGAATCCGGAGTAAGAAAGTGTAAAGCTTGATTAAGAGATGCAACCTTAGCAGATGCTAATTTTGCAATGGATTTGATATATGGTTTCCAAAAAAAATCGGAAGTAAGAGTTAATTCTAGAAGATGAAGGGTAGGTGACTCATTGAGTACATTACAGTTCATAAATATAGGAAGATCTAAATTATTGCATTAACGATTGGCTGAAAAAAATTGAGTTTTAACTGAATTAAAGTTCATCAGCCACTGTGAGAGTTCATCTCACTGTAGCAGAAGTGAGATCTTTTTCAAGCTCAGTTGCCCCTTTCAAGCAATCAGAAAGTGTTGGCATCTTGTCATGACAAGAATAAATGGTAGCGTCATCAGTGAACAATGCCACCTTGGGTGTGAGAATATCTAGAAGATCATTAATGTAAATTAAAAAGAGTATAGGACCAAGAATTGAATCTTGAGGAACCCTTGAAGTTACAGGATATGAAGAAGAGTGCTGTCTATCGAGGACAACTTTTATACTACAATTGGAAATGAAGGATTCAATAATCTTAAAGATGCTATTAGATACACCATAAGAACAAAGCGTATGTAGAAAACCAGCATGCCAAATTTAATCAAAAGCTTTAGAAATGTCAAGAGAGATAACCTTAACCTCTACCTAATGCACAATAAAACCTATCGGTTATTACTGTTAGCAAATAAGCTGTAGAATGAGAAGGTCGAAATCCATATTGATGATCAGAAAGTAAGTTATTAGATTCAAAATGAGAGATTAAGTGTTGTTAATTAAAGATTCAAAAACCTTGCTTATGGTAGGAAGAAGATAAATAGGACGGTAGTTAGGCAAGTCAGATTGCTCTCCAGAATTTTTAAAAATAGGGACAATAGATGCAGCTTTCCATGAAAAACAAAACTCTGATAAGCAATTGTTAAATAGTTTTGAAAGTATAGATGACAGCTCTGTAGAACACTTCTGGAAGACTAGAACAGGTATGTTGTCTGGACCACAAGCTGTAGAAGAGTCTAAGTAGGAAATCACTTTTGATACAGAAGCTGAAGTGATACAAATATCAAGCAATGGATCAACCTGTTTCACGGCTACATCAGGTAGAATGCAACTAGTGGAATCAAGAAATGACATTGATGAAAAGTTCTTAACAAACAATTCGGCTTTGTCTTTAGGTGAGGTGACAAAGTCTGAACCATACATATAAGGTGAAAAAACAGATTTGCCCTTATTATTAATACTGTTAAAGATTCTCCAGAAGTCACGAGAGCCCAATTTTTGTGATGAAATACAAGATTTTATGACCTGACAATAGCAAGCTTTGGCGTTAAACTAAACCTTTTTACAATGGTTTCTAGCAATAGTAAACAGACGTCTGTTTTTTGGAGAATATTTTTATCTTAGTAATAGTTCTCCATGACTCTTTTTCAATGTGAATACAAAGAAAATTTATCCCTGCCATCAACTTCATTATTACCATTAATGTGGACTTTTAAAATAATTAAATATTGATTAAAGTGGACTTTTAAGCTGGTTTTTAATTTTAAACAATTCCCGTTTTTTCTTTTGCATTTTATCATGCTACAGATTAATGTAGCAATTTTGCTTTTTTTCAGCATAGACTCTTTTCTAGCCAGTGAGTCTACTTGAGGAAAAAGTCTTATAAAAATTTTTAGTGATCAGCTCTATGATTATTGAAAGAATGTTTTAGCAATGTCTTGATGTCTGTGTGGGGTATATTAAAAACTGTTGAGATTAAATTAAATAATGTAGCCTTCTGCTTTACTATTCTTTCTTGTTTCATGAATTTCATACTCTACAACCAAATAAACAACCTAATCAACAAATTCTTTTTTGCTTGACTTGTAGTTAGAATATAAGCCAAAGTTTGAAAGTACATAATAAATGAGATGACTTGCAATCAGTTCTTATTCTTTTCTCAGATCTTTAAATAGCTATCTTATAAATTGAGTGTGACTGGCACATGTGCCCCACATCGAATTTCCTTGTCAGATAAAGTCAGTGTTATGGTAAGAGTCAAAAATGGAGTCAAGGTTGTGCACATCTCATAAAGTTAATAAGTAAAATATGTTAAAGTTCATCAGGGAATACTGTTACAGTTTGTAGGAAAGATAGTTTGGGTATGTAAAGCATAAAAATCCAATTAATTAGGTATTGCATGTAAAAAGTTTTAGAGGTAATAACATAATGGAAGAAGTAGAAAAGTTTGGAGAGAGTGTGTTATGAACAGCATAAAAAAGTTTCTGTTAAGATATGTTTAAAATTGTGTAGCACTATGGGAAAAATCTAATTCAAGCAGGTACAAAAACAAGAACAATGATGATGATCTTAACATGCAAAATTATACTTTAAATGAACATTAATAGTTTAATTTGGTAAAACTGAAATAATCGATATTTTCGAATCCTCAAATCTATATTATTAATACCCTTAATTGAGGTTCAAACTTTTGAATCATTGTAAATTTCAATTTATATATACTATAAGCAACTTAAATGAAATAAAACTTAAATGAAACATAAACAAAATAAAATTAAGTAATCATACCAAGTAATTCGACTCTTTTTGTGAGCTTTTTAGCCAATAATTTATAATCAAACTAAAAAATAAAAAAAATATTAACAAATTAAAGTAAAATTGATAATATTTAAAAAAACAAACATGTCCATTATATAAATTTCTAAAAAGGCTTATCTCTTTTTTTATAAAACAAGATTCACAAAAAACTAAATTTCTGTTAAACTATTTTAGATTTTTTTGAAATTCTTTTTTATTGTCTATCACGACATATTAAGGTTTTTTACATAAAATTTTGTAATTGAAAACAAAAGACTTATGAAATTCATTTTAAAAGTTTAACAATGTAGTAACAGATTAAGATTTTATTTAAAAACAAATTATAAATTCCATCATTAGTTTTTATCAGCCATTTTTAAAAAACGTGATAATGTAACAAATTAAAAATAAAGATTTCCTCTTAAAATAAATTATAAATTTTATTGTTTTTGAAAAAACATTTTTTCAAAAAACTTTTTTCTCATAAAATTTTGGTTTCTATCAAAAAATTACAAAAAACATTTTATATAAATTTTTTTCTCCCTGAAAATCAGACTTTATGTTTTGGCTGCCATTAAAAAGTTATCTTAAATATGTTATTGGAGTGAATAGGGTATTCTATTTTTTGTTATATTGCAAGATGAACAATGCTATTTTTTTTTTATTTAAAAAAGTTGATAAGAATCACATAACTCTACAAAAGGTTGCATGTTGTGAGAGCTTTTAAAAATACATCATAAATATCAAACCGCATTCTGATATAAAAAAAAAGATCTAAAACTAAGGTTTTTCAATTTCAGAGATTAGCCTTTCCAAAAATTTCTGTAGCCCACAAGAATCACTACTATTAAAAACTTTTAAGTCTAGTAAAGAGTAAAGAAAAACAAACATTGTTACAACAAAGAGCTAAATATTGTTTTTAAATATCTCACATCAAGCTGTCTAGAAACGCCTTTAGCAACAGGTTTTCGTACAAACTCCACACTTTTCAGAGAGGTTGCAAGATTACTTTTTAAACGCATCAAGAAAGCATTCATGTGCTTCCCACTCTTTAAATTACATTGCTAGAAATTACAAACTTCTCATAAAGCTTTTATTTATGAAGATTTTTCAAAAAAAAAATATATATATATCATATCAACCTTTATATTCAAATTTATACTGAATCTTTTTTAAACATTTCAAATTTATACTGAATCTTTTTTAAACATTATTTTCTACCCTGACACATGATAAAAAGATCAATCAAAAATTTTTACATCTCAAGACCAAAACAAAATCAATAATGCACTTTATTACTCCAGACAAGACCAAAAAATTGTATTCAAAAAGATAAAAGAAGACAAATACATAACTGTAGAGAAAAACTACTACTCAGGTCATTTAGAAACTAATGGAAAATGAACTTTGCAAGTAATTAGTCTAAGGCATATTTACTAGTGTTAGTAAGCCATATTTAAATAACTGAGATGACAATTGTAATTTAAAAAAAAAGTTATAATTGATGAAAAAGAAATTGATGGATTTACAAAAAATATTGTTTTAAAGTAGCTGTACAAGTTGAAACTCTTGTAAATCGCTTTGTCTTTTTTTTAATGATTGCTTGAATAATGAAGCTTTTATTTATTATAAATATAGAAGAAATTGGTTATTGCAATATCTGATATGGTTTAAAAAAAAAATGAAACAAAAAAAAAAGCGAATTTTTTAAAATATTAAAAAAAAAGTTCAAATATAAAAAAATTTAATGTTATTTTAAGTTATTAAAAGACATTAACTGTGCGAATGTTCGCAAAGACATAAACATGAACTTTTAGAAATTAATAATCTGAAGTTTATTTTACAAAGATTTTAATATTTATGTAAAAAACTAGATTTTTTATTTCTTCTAAATTTGTTTTAGCTTATCATCTTTTTTGCTTTTTATCTTGAATGTTAATTCAAGTGCAGTGTTTTCATCTTTTTTCCTTTTGAACTTTTTTTTATTGCAGCCATAGTTATGTCCTGGTAATGGCTGGTATAGACTGATAATATATTGAAGAAGATGAGACCCTTTAGCCATGGTTAAGGCAACTTATCTAAGAATATTTTTATTAAAAATATACTCACTTTAATTGTGGGTAAGGGAAGGAACTTGTTAACCTTGAATGGAAATACTTCTATTTGTGGTATTACAAATAATACCCATAAAATACCCACTTCTGATCTGCAGTATATGTTAGTACCAGAAAATGCTCAAATTTTAAAAAAATTTCTTTCACTCTACTATGTTATACTTAAATAAGAAATTGATAATAAAGAAACCCAAAAAAAACAAAAATTCAAGTATTATATATTAACGAAAGAATTTACAAAAGGAACACAAGTAAAATTTATTTAACATAAGATAGTTGAAAAAAAACTTAAATTACAATTTAAAAAAAGTTATTACTATTTGAAAAAAATTTTTTATTACTATTTCTTAAATGAATATTATAGTACTATAATATATATTATATAACTATTGATACTATTTATTATAATATATAATAGTAGTATAATATATAATATAACATAAAATATATAATATAATATAAAATATAATTTGTTAAACTTTGTTTAACAAAAAGTAATATTTGTTTAGCAAATATTACTATTTTTTGGTACTGAACTTTAACTTTAAACTTTAAACTTTAGTACCAAAGTTTAACAAATAACTATTCGCTATTTGTTCAATGAAAACACTATTCGGTGCTTAGCATGAACATTAAACTAAAAAAAATTCTTTTTATTATATTATTATTATCATTTGGTATTTTGATATGTCTGATTGAGTAAGACCTAACCAATCCTTTGCTTATGACTTAATATACTCATAACTTTTATTAATTTTTCACTATGCACTAATTAAAAATGTAATGATTGTAAAGAAAACTTGTTGCTGTTGTTATTTACATGATCTTATTAGTTCCAGAATAAACAGAGAATTTTGCTTGACGCAAGATTAAAGAAAATTTTTTAATAATTAGACAAAAAAACGCTTTTTTATCTCAAGATGACAAATTTTCCAAAAAAAATTCTTCTCTACCTATTTTTTATTAAGATTTGTAAAGTAAGAATACAATGAAATAAAAGATTAATAAAGAAAGAATACAATGAAACAAAACCTCCACATTGAGACACATTCTTTCTTTATTGGTAATTGTTCGTGCTCTTGTTCCAAAATTTAAACTGCATCTTGTTTCATAAGCTTCACCTGATGAAGGTGCAACACAAACCTAAAATATTTCAATCATTTAAAAAATAAAAAAATAAAAAACTTTAATAACAACATAATAATTGAAAACTTACAATAAAGCTTGTTTGACACCGTGATCCTAAACATTCTTGCAGCAACCTTGTTAGAGTAGAATTACGAAAAGGAATATGACGTCTCTTCCCCTCTGACAATGCATATATTACATTTCTACAATATTTCAAAATAAAAAATATTTTCAAAAATATAGTATAAAGTATAACATAATACTATATAACATGTAATATTTGATGTTATAGAAAAAGTAAATTTTATCAACAAAAAAACTAATTATTTTTTAGGGAAAAAAATGATGACTAAAACTATATAAGATCAAATATATAAAAAATAATTCTGATTTTTTTATATATTTGACTTTTTCTATAGCTTTTTTTTTGTTTTCTAGTAACTCCATAATATAACAAAACTTTGTTTCTTGTTAAGAAAGGGTTTCTTTTCTGAACTTATTTTATTTTTATCAAAAATTTTTTTAATAACAAACAAAAACTATAGTAAATTAAGAAAATAAACAATGAAAATTAACAACAGGTTTATTGATAGAATCCAACAAAGATCATCTCTTTTAAAAGTTTTTATTTTCAATTTTATTCTCCTCAACTAGTCATAAGGATTCAATGGACCGTCCCCTAATTGATGGATTGTTATTATTGGTCTAATATACAAATACTTCATACCTTATATTTATAAGCAAGCATACTTTAATAATCTCATCAATTTGAAAAAACAATTTAATAAAAACTGTTCAGAAACAACACTTGTTTTAACTTTATTTTACTTATAGAAGTGAAATTGTCATAGTAGCAAGTGTCTTTTAAAATTTTTGCAGAAATAAAGATAATTATTCCGTAAATTTTAATGTTAATTAATATTAACTCAACACATTAAACTAAATAAATAATACTATATAAATCTTAACTAAATAAATGATAAATTTAACATATTAAATTTAATAGGTTCAAAGTTTATAGTTTTTATTGAGATTTTAGAGCTTGATTACCTTTCCATAATATTCCTAAAATATTTATAGAACAGTTTTATTTTTAATTTTTTATATACTTACCCAAGTTCTAATAAAGAAGAATTTATGTGCTTTGCCTCACTTAAATGAACACCTTCTACCATTGTTTTACCTAATCTTTCACTTCCAGCTAAATCACAGCTAAAATTAAAAGATAATGAATTAGTATATAAAAATTATGGAAACTTTTGTTTGTCATTTTATGAAATGATAGATATAAAAATAACAGGGAAAAAAATTATACATGTCCATCTTGGCTCGAAGTACCATGTCTTCTTCAAGTAACATTATACCAACATCACTCTGTAAAAGGTTTGTTTTGCAATAAAATTATTTCTTATAAATATTAATATAAAAGTGTATATATAACTTACATATGTATCTATGTACATAATTTTACAACTTTATATATATAAATATAAAGTTGTAAAATTATATACATACATACATACATATATATATATATATATATATATATATATATATATATATATATATATATATATATATATATATATAACTTTGAAGTGTTTGAGGTCCAAGTTTCTATATTTAGAGTGTTTGACCTTGTTTCTATGTTTTGTGCCAAGACCTATATACCATTTATTTTTTTGCCAACCTTTAAAAGATTGAGGTCAGCAAATTATTGCCGACCTTATTTTTCTTAATTCCAAGGGTTGTTTATATATATATATATATATATATATATATATATATATATATATATATATATATATATATATATATATATATATATATATATATATATATATATATATATATATATATATATATATATATATATATATATATATATATATATATATATATATATATATACATATATATGTTCCTGGGTCAGAGAGTTATTAGACTCAAGATAAAATATTTAGAAATTTGTTGATCAAAGACTCAAAGACCTTGCTAATAAAAGAGAGAATATTAATTGGACTATAGTTAAAGGGGTCAGAGTATTCTCCAGAGTTTTTAAAAATTGAAACCAACAACAAGGTTCAGTCAAGCACTTATCAAATAGTTTAGAGAGTATTGAAGAGTGTTTATGGTAGAATTAATTAAAAAGAGCTCTGTAGAAAAATGTCCTAAGACTACAATTGGTTGTCTAGACCACAAACTGTAGAAGAGTTTTATTGTGTAATGGCTTCTGCAAAAGAAGCTGGAACAATAGGTTAAGCTATTTAACAGGAATGACAAATTTATCTGGATAATTTAGAAAGGTCATTGCATGGTTGGAACCACCTAAAGGAGAACAAGGAGAGACTGAACGCAAGTTAGGGTCAGACACAAACCAAGGAGTAAAGGTAATTGAGTTTTCTGGAAAATGAGTCACAAAATAATTTAGAGTTAGAGAATGAGAAGAAGTTAGAAGTGCAACCAGTGGTGTCAACAACAACAGTGCAACCAGTGGTGTCAACAAGCCATTCAGTGTGGTGAGCATTAAAGTTACCAATAGCGACAATATTGGCAGAGAGATAAAGAGAAAGAGCTCAACCAATTTGATCAGAAGTTACATAAAAAAGAGTGCAGACAAGAAAAAGTAAAAATAATAAAAAACAAAGAGAAAGGTGATTGAGTGAAAGCGAAGTTATTAAATACAAAAGTATGTAAAAAAATATTTAGAGGATTAAAGCCTGATTTCATGACAAATAAGTAAGTTGATACATAAGTACATGCTTATGTGACTATTAGAGTCTTGGTGAATCAAAGGAAAATAGATGAAGAAACAACTGAATTTAAATTTTTCTCACAAAGAGCAAGTAAGTCTGGTTTTGCAAGAGGCAAGATTAGGCTGGTGGAAAGTTACTTTGGAGGCCACAAATGTTTGTAAAAGATATATTGTAACAATTTTTTTGTGTTTTTTTTTTTTTTTTTTAGTATTTGTGTATATGCTTTTTTTTTATAGTATTTGTAAGTATATGTTGTTGTTTTTTAGTATTTGTAAGTACTTTGGTCATGATTTGAGTTAAAGAAAACCTGACTCATTCATAAATAGAGCATGGTATTTCAAACCATCTATGCACAACATGTCACTGTTAATACTCATATTTTTTTAGCTGTTATTTTATTATTTTTTACTAACTGGTAACTGAGCTAACACTACACCAGAGCTTCAAACAAAATAAAAACATACGTATTGTTTAACTTAGTATATATAACTTGTAATATATTGTATATAATATATTGCAAAATTGAGCACACACTAACTGAATTATAATTTGGCTTTTTTTTTTCTTATAAAATAGATTAATTTAGAAAAGAAAAGAAAATTTATTCACTAAAATATTTCAAATTCACATGTGTTGTAACAATTTTTTTCAAAAAATCTAACTTTATTGTTGACTGCATTTATAAAAACCAGTTTTTATAAAAACCAGTATTTATAAAACCTGCATTATACAAACTTGTCTCATATTTAACTTGCCTTACAAAAACTATAAAAAATATTCTAAGAATCCAAACCAAGATAGATTAATTTCATTGACAAATACTCTTGAGGTTTTATACCTAATATCTAAATGAAAGCCAGGAAAAACATAGGTTTTAAGGAGTATTCCAAAAAACATATATATATATATATGTATATATATATATATATATATATATATATATATATATATATATATATATATATATATATATATATATATATATATATATATATATATATATATACCATCTTCATAAACGAGTACGAGAAGTTAGAATACTTTTGCTTTTATTTCTTTTTGAACTTTCAAAAAACATTTTAATGTAACAATTGTGCCTTTGAGTCATAAAACAAGGCTTTTTCTTTGCCAAAATATTTGGATGATGATCATTATCATTTCTTCCTCTCATGTACCAAATAAAAGGGGGTTTGGGGGGAATAAAAAGAAAAGGGTAAAAATTTTATTCAAGATCTAATGAAGGGGTTCTTAATAAAAGGGTGAGTGGGAATTTTTTACAGAACATGCATAAAATTAAATTCTAGTGTGACTTGTGATCAAATTAACAGCGCTTACCCAGCAGATGCATTTGGCTACAAACATAGACACTTTATAAAATTAAAAGAAAAAGAGTATTTGGTGCATGTTATAAAAGTTGGAAAGCTTACATGCTTTACTTATATTTAAAATAGATGTATACAATCATTTATACAATAATTTAACCATAAAATCAAAAATTACAAATTTAAACATAACTTGTAAAGTTAGATTCGGTGTCACTCATATAGTTAAAAACTAGTCAATGGAGTGACACCTTAATAAAATAAACAAATAAAATAAAAAAATAAATTAAAACAAGGAAATAATAAAGAAAGAAAACTATATTAATACAAGTAATAAATAAAGAAGTAATAAGAATAATAATATTAGGAATCAGAACAAAAATACAAAGGAGTAAGGCTAAGAAAAATGAAAAAAAGAGAGAATGAATTTAAGATGAGTGAGAAAAAAATGTAAGAGAAAACAAAAATTTTAATCACATAAAATCAGAAGGATAGAGTGAGAGAAAAAAAATTTTGCAAAAAAATATAAGAAAGCAAAATAAAGGCAAACTTAAATTAAAAAATATATATACATACACTACTTTGTATTAAGTAGTTGCAATTAAGAAAATTTTTCTGTATCAATGTATTATAGTAAAATATGTTCAAACCAGTATTAAATGTGCAAAATTTCCTGCTTTGAAAATTTTAACTATGCTATATTACAAGTGAGTACAATTAAGAATAGAGCCTAAAGCCAAAAATTTTGTTATTATGCAAATTTGGCAGCAAAGAACTAATCACTCAAGCAATTAATACTATTACATTGTAGATCTCATCTAACATCACTCTGGCAAGTCCTTTAATTAATTATATTTGGCTGTTAATGTTACCAAGGGCAGCAAAATAAAAGCGTTTGGAGCTTTTTCAAGAAACCTTATTATTGCTAATCTATGTTACTTATAGCTGTTAATGTTGTTTATTTAATGTTCGTTCCAAACCCTATATTTCTTTACCATGCCATATATTGCATAAGCATAATATATACATGTATATATACAAGTATATATATATATATATATATATATATATATATATATATATATATATATATATATATATATATATATATATATATATATATATATATATATATATATATATATATATATATATACACACGCATATATATACTCATTCTTATTCAATTTTAAATGACTTGTTCTAAATTTTGTTTTTTTATTGATATCACATTCCAAGTTACAGAGCAAAATCCATATACTTGATCTTCAATTCAAAAATAAATACTCAGAGAAGCAAAGCATCTTATTTATTATGTTGGGCTATGAATGTTACCAAGGGCAGTGTAATAAAAACATTAGGACCTTTTTCAAGAAACTAATATGTAGTATACTCTAAGGTAATGAAATGATTATAAAAAGAAAATAAATACCTTGTTGTTAATGTTGTTGGCATTTTTTAAATATACATATTTATTACTGTGAATTTAGAAATCTATAATGGTAAAACATTCTGTGCACTCTTGAATTGCAAACTTAAATCAATAAACATTTTTCAAAAAAAAGAAAGATAAAAAAAACAATTTTGTGTAAAACAAACTTGTTGTTAGTACAATGGCTGTGTTTAGTAGTTTGTCTACTAAACACAGCCATTGTACTTAACTTATTTTTGCGCAATTTCAATAATGTTTCAAATTAAAGTAATTAATGGAAAACAAGTATAGGGAAACTAAACATTATATATAAATTTTGACAATAATAAATAAACAAAAAAGAAAAAAATCTAACAAAAAAAAGTCACTTTATTGTTGCTCATACATTTTCATTTAAAGTTGCAACTTTATCGTTGCTCATACATTTCATTTAAAGTTGCAAAAAAAGTTAGTGCCTAGTTTTGAATAATGAATTTCTAATTAAAAAAGCAATAATTTCTGATCAGAGAGTTTAAAATCATATTGTGTATTAAGATAATTTAAAAATAATTCTCAATTTATAGTGGAACTGTATGTTTTCATTTTCATTAATTAAAAATTTACACTTAAGCTACATATAAAAAAGAAGAAAAAATTTATTTAAAGTTAACATTGTTGAAAAGCAAAAATAAAGAAACTTTCCTTTTTTTCATTTCTTTTTTAAACTTTTTGTAACCACAATGTATGAGGATCAATACAATAACAATGTAGGAGGACTTTAAAACTAATTATTTTTTAAACTCATATTTTTTCAAATAAAAATAGAAGATGGCTTTGTGGATGGTTGCATTTGTACCTATCTTTTGGTATATTGGTTTTTAAAATCTTTTCTAAGTAAGGCCATCATTGTGAAGTGCATTGAATAATAGGGCAGTTGGAGAGGGTTAGAAAAGAAGAACAGTCCTAATCACTAAGCCTTAAGCCACCTAAATTTGTAGCTCAGTCAAAAACTTCATTAAAAATTACGAAAAATTTTAGTGTTCTTACCTCTGATCGAGTATTTCCATACGTAGAAAGAACTAAAACAAAACCAGACATTTTAAACAAATGGAATTAAGTAAATATATTTTAATTTTTTACATTTTAAAGCCACCATTTTGAAAGAAATTGTAAAAAAAAAAAAAATCAAAAAAAAAAAACTTTTTAGTTCTTAATTTTTAGGGTTAAGAATTTAATTTTTAGGGTTAAGAATTTAATTTTAGGGTTAAGAATTTAGGGTTAAGAATCAGATATTGTAATAAAACTATAGATTTACCTGGTGTTACAAGCCTGCTTCTTGGAACATCTAATCTTCGTTCAATTGATAATTGAAAGATAGAGTGAGATCTGAGAACCAGGAAGATAAACTATTACATAATTATAATAATATGCATACTAGACCTGAGACATTAGACTCGCAAAAAAGCTACCTGCTTGAGTGACGAACCATTTTAGTTTCAGCGGTGACTAACTCTTGCCTTCCTTTATCAAAAAGAGCAAGAACTTCCTCCTGGCTGTTTGCTTGATGGTGAGTTAAATTTGAAACATAAATTCCTAAATAAATTTCTTAAAAATAATATTTGTTTCTGTAAACAAATACCAAAATTCAAAATTAACAAATATCAAAATACAAAGAAACAAATATACAAATTGAAAAAAACAATTAAAAAAAAAAAAAAAATCAAAACGATGAAAAAAATATTTAAAACAAACTTAATTACATTTATACATTATTCAAAGATTTTAAATTTTGATTCAACAAATGTTTACCAAACCTTTGTTTATAAACCCAAAACCAAAAGTTTGGGTTTATTAAAAAAAAAAACTCATTTAGATCTGAATGGGCCAAAACAAAAACCAATAATTAAAAAATTTAGGAAACACATTTTTATTTTAAAATCATTTTTATTTTTTACTAAACAAGGTAAAAGTTTTGTTTTGTCTTTATTGTTTATAACAGGTATAAAATTTAAGAATACAGTTATAGACCAAGCAGGCTGTCAAGCAACAACTTCATAAAAAAATTTTTAAAAATGGTATAATTTTGAGGGGAAAAATGGCAAAAAAAGATAAATTTCATAAAAAAATTAAAAGTTTAACAACTATTTAAAAAAAAAAAAAAAAATCTGAAGTCATCACAAATGTCTAAAATAATATAAAATAAATTAACAGAATAGAGAAAACAACAAATAACTTGCAACACCAAATAAGATTCAAAATTAACAAGAACTTTTTTTTAAAATGCTACTGTGAATTTTTGACACCATTAATTAAACTATCCATTTCACTTTTCCATTTTAAACCAATATTTACTCTTAACTTTTTTTGTTCATTTCTATGTGTTGTAGCATTTTCAAGATTTTTTTTTGCACTGTTGAAAATTTCATGGGCAATTTTTATACCTATTATGTCTTCTTTATTGATGGCACTTTGCATAGACTTGGTTGCTTCATCTAGCATTCTCTAAGCAAGTTGAAACTCTAGATCTGGATTTTTCTTATCGTTTTCAAAATTTTTCCCTTTGATCTAAGTTTTTGTTGTTTTTTGAGCCATTAATATTTCATCATTTAGTTTTACTCGTTCTTAAGTCAATTTATTTTCATTATCTGATAAATTTCGCTCTGCACTTCTGTTTCCATTCTGAATAGTTAAACAGCTTTTAACAACTTAACTGAGATACTTAATTTTTCCATATTCCTTGTCACTTTTAAAAATTTTAGTCCAGTAATAGTCAATTCTTTTTGGTTTTTTGTATCAGAATCTGAATACCAGTCTTTTGAGATATTTGTTTGATACAATTTTCATTCATTTCCATTCACAAATGACACCAATACAAAAATGAAGATTTAATTCTTATGAAAAAATTAATATTTAAGTCTAAAGGAAAACTAAATTAACTAACAATATTACAAAATCTTAAGAAATTATAATTATTCATAAACAGAACATGTAATAAATACAAAATAAATTATTAAAGTACATTAAAAAAAAAAAAAAAAAACCACAATTAAATATAAATTAACTATAAAGCATTTTGTTGACATCTTCAGCTGTTGCTCTTCCAAAGAACAGTGATTTTAAGTATTTTGTAACAATTTGATTCTCTTTTTTTGATATAGATAATCCATTTTTATGATATAGATAATCCATTTTTTTTGTTTGCTGTGCTGTAGTTGTTTCATCAAATATTAAAGTAAAAGCACTCTGACTTATTGATAGAACAGAGGCGTTTCTCCAGCAAAGGTCTAAGGCCATCTTAAAATATACATGAAGCTTTTTGTTTACTAATACTGAAACCTTGACTTGCTATAGTATCTGAAAACATTATTTGAAATAGTAATGATGTATTATCACAATGTCTTAAAGCAAGGTCATTTTCAGCTACTTTAAACAACTTCATAGCCTTTGCAGCTGCCATTTTTTCATATATAGAATACACTAACAGTAATACTTTCTCTCCCAATAGAGTTTTACTTAAATCTACATATAAATGACGAGCTGTTTTTGAAAATCTAATATCAGAAACTAATTTATGTTTAGTTTTTGTAGAATGTTGATAAAATCAACTAAACTGTATTTCAAATAACTAAAACATAGTTTACAAACTGCATAATCAGATTTTTTTTCCCTCAGCCAATAGTTTTATTTTTACTTGATTTTTATCAGGCTTTTCCAGCCAAACCTCATTCCATTTAACCATTATAACTTTTACCTATCTATTGATTAATATAGACTAATATTGATTAATATACTTAAAATTAAAAATAGATACTAGTAACTTTACAAATACTGAAAATTTTATTCAAAATTTAGTTCTCAATTCAGTTTATCAACCAATAAAAGTAATAAAAACAATTTAATAATTCAAAAAATTACAATATTTAAATAAAACTTAAAAAATATATATTTTAAGAGAATATTTATTGTAAAATTTATTTAAATAATCAAAAATAATTCAAATTACAAAAAATAAACTTAAAGTAAAATAAACCTTAACTTAATCCAAATACTTAAAAAAAAAATCAATTGAAAAAATTCAAAATAAAATGAAAAAGTGACAAAAAATTACATTTAAAAAAAAAAAATTAATAAAAAAGATCGAAAAAAAAGAAAAAATGGCAACTTGACAGCCTGACTAAGTAGTAATTTTTAACATGGTAAATATTTTCTATTTCAATAAAAAATGAAAAATCTTTGTTATACCTTGTTTAGGATGTTCTCGGACTGGTAGTTCCTTGCTGTCATGGCTCAACAAATCATAAACCTTTTCCAAGTAAACTTGAACAAACGAACATGTTATCTGTTGTTATTTTAAAATACATGTATTCAAATAATAATGCTTAAATAAATACAAATATGATTTATTTTATTTAAAACCTTGATATAATAAATATTTGTTTTAGAGTCTTGATAAATATTTTAAATCAGAGCCTTTACTTATAAAATATTCATTTTAGCAAAAAAAAATTATTTATTGAAATATTTAAATATATTCTAAGAAGAAAGGTAATAAGAATAGATTAAGCTTTTTAATAAAAATAAAACTTCTATATAAGAAAAACCTCTATTAAGAATTTCAAACATTTGTAAAATCATTTGATAGGCTGATGTAGACATAAATCTGTTACATTTTATCTGTCTAGGATGATAAATACTGAATCTTTTTTATTCATAATTTGCTGTTTCAACTCCAGATCTAAGTATGGCTACTGCCTTTTGATTTGCAAAGACTCTAGTAGTTATATGCTTATCCTGGGCATATATTTACTTATCGATTCACCAACTTGTTGTATTCTCAGAAAGAACTTCTTGACTACACTTTAATGTGCTTACTACCTCCTAACTTATTCATCTTTCTTTTTATAAGTTATCATTCTCCTTATTCCCAAGACTCCAATCATTTATCCATTTGTATCAACTACTTCACTCATTTCAATGTCATTTCTAATCAAATTGACCACGCACTTAAAAAGTTAAACTCATCACACTGAGGAGCTTGGATCTAATACTGCTAATTAAAAATTCTAGCTGACTAGAATTTTTTTGCCATGATTTTCTTTGCAATGGTTTTTGGGCTAATGTCTTTTGTCTCCCTGCTAAAAATTATGCCTCCTTTATAATCTCCTAAATTCAGATAGGCATGGAGCTTTTAATTTTTCTTGCTGGTTTGAAGTCAAGCCTTTACCCTATAATTTTCTTCTTTGAATATCTTTTTATAGTTTGAAAAAATTGATGCAAAATGTTTTGTCTGATGCTATGATCAATTATTCTCACATTATCTCAGATTATTTGTTAGATATAATAATAGTGTTGTTAAAGATTTTCTGAATGACTTTAGAACATAATTTTCTGAGAAATATAGTTCTAAAAACGTATAGTAAATCTATAACAATACTATTATTATATCTAACTATTATTACATTCCATCTAACAAATCTAACATTCCAAAATCTCATACATGGATTTGATATCTTTACATTTTCCGAAGATAAGATAGAACTATTTTTATTTTTTTTTATTGAATCATGAATGACCACATTCTTTTCTTCATACTAAAAAACAGACTATTCCACTATTAGACATCAAAATCACTCCTACTTACTTTGTTAAAATTATTTATCTTAAACTCCTCCAATGCTTGTCTACTATAAACGTCTCATCTTGAGTCTAACAAACTCTGACAATCAAAATAGATTTTGATCAAGCATACTTTAGTTGCTTAGTTTGAGATTCCACCTTAAAGCTATAAGGTTGTCTCTCTTTCAGATTTCTAAAAGCAGTTATTGTTCAAATAGTAGCATTTCTTTCTCTTTTTTATTATCATGGTTGCTGTCAATGCAAGCTATTATCAATTATTCTAAAACAACCAAAACTCAATTTTGCGTGACTTGTCATTCAGCTAAGTTGCATCTTTTTTAACTTAATAATTTTATTTAAATATGTTGTTATATTTATTTAAAACTTTTCAATATATTTAAAATTTGTTTTCAAACCTTATATTTATGAAGTTTATCAGCTTCAATTTTGTCAAAGAGTTCTTGCACAGCATATTCTGTAATGCACCCATCAGCCATCAGTGTAAAGGTCTTGCCTAAATTAAAAATAAATATAATAAAAAATAATACCTATATAAAATAAATTTAAACATATATATATATATATATATATATATATATATATATATATATATATATATATATATATATATATATATATATATATATATATATATATATATATATATATACATATATATATATATATATATATATATATATATATATATATATATATATATATATATATATATATATATATATATATATATATATATATATATATACATATATATACATATATAAATGAATTATATTTAAACATTATGCTTATCATAAATCAGACAATATTTCACCCAGTAATCACAGAGTAATCCAGAATCGGTCAATATTTAGTCAATATTGGTTAAAAAGTGACTAAAATGCTTAGCAACCAATTTTTGATATATATAACTATATAGTTTATTTTGATCTACATTTTATGTCTTTTAATTTATATGATTATTAAATGTCAATTAAACCTTTACAATATTGACAAAAATGAGTCATAATTGTAAACAATTATTAAACATTTAATAAATGCATACATAAGGAAAACTCAAGTGTACATTACAAACCTATTAGCCTATACGTTGATTAATTGTTGAATAAAGGTTTAAAAAATTGACTAGCATAATATTGTAAATTTTTAATAATTTGCTTAAATCTTTTTCATACACATGAAAAAAATTTAAGCATACATTTAAAATCTTTTATTAAACTTTTATTAAGTGTTGGTTAAATGTTTTTAATATTGATTGATAGTAGTCAATACTATAAATATTTTACATCATTTAATATATATGTATACATTAAAAAAATGAAAGTCTGCGCCAAACTTTAAATAAAATTTGAATATTTTTAATGGTTTTATTTGAATGGTTTAAACCCAGTAAGTATAGGACATGTTTAACTTGACTAAAAAATAAACCACATTTTAATACATTTTTTTCGATCTCTTAAACCTTTAAGTTTATAATTAAAAAATTGTTCAGTTTAATATACTTTATAATCATATAATATATTATTATAATCATTTTTTATAATAGCATAAATTTAAATGCTTTAAATACGTTTGAATTTAAACGTCTAATAATATGTCAAAAATATGTTTGTTCTAAATGGACCTTTGTTCTAAATATTATTTTGGATTTTATTTCTAAACAGATAATCAATCTAAACGTTTTGTCTAAAAATTGTTTCAACATTTAATAGATGACCATGTGTTTATTCGGCATGGTATTAACAAATCAGATGTTTTTTGTTTTTTTAATGATTTAGGAAATTAAAAACATATACATATACATATGGATAGTTCTGGCCATATATGCATCATTGGTAAAGAAAGAGACATTGAACTTCTTTTAAATGTTATTTTGCAGTGCTTTGTGATCTGTAAACACCTTTTGAAGCACCAAAATAACTTTATTTTAATAAACTTATAATAGTTTTAAAAAACAATAGAAGAACTATTTTATATAATATATAATAAAATAAACCTAAACAACTATATATGATAAAAAAAACTTAAACAAATATGTTGGAAGTCAAAAGAGACCAGAAGTAATGATCATCAGCATAATACACTATATTAATTTAAAATACGCATAATCAAGCTAATTTGAGAATGTATTTTTTAAGTGCAACCAACATGTAGCATGAATAAATTTGATATAACAGATTTAAATAATGACTAAATAGGCTTATGATAAAAATAAATGAAACTTGAATAAAAATTCATTAATATATCTAAATGTGTACTATGTAACTCCTAATAATAGATCAAAAAAGAAACTTAAATGAAATATTTCTAAATACTTTATATAAATGATGTAACATACACATTCATAAAAACAAAAATAAAAAACAAAACAAAAACTGAAACCATTGATTGATAAAGAAACAGAAAAGACAATTATAAAAACCAGTATCATCATCGAATTAGCACCTTTGTTTCAGTGCTTGCATGGGAAGGATAATCAAATTAATAAACTACACAACTCATTTTCTAATACTCAATCTAAATATTCCAACTGTCATATTCTTTAACAAAAGTTAACAACATATTACAAAAGTAATGCACTGTAATTGAAGAAGCATGGAAGGTTAACTGTGAAATGTTATTTTATTAATATCAATTGATCAATTGAAAAATTTGATAAATCAGATTATTATAAAGATTACAATAATAATCAAAAACATTTATTTTAAAAAATGATATTAAAGTAAAATTTAAACAATTTTTATAGCACAAAATTTACTCTTATTTCCCCTTAAACTTTCATCAATTGTCACAGTTTACTTTTATTATTATTGTTATTATTATTATTATTTTTCTTTTATTCATTTCTTTTAGCTGTCTTTTATTTTTTATCTTTCTGTTAATTTTATTTCTAACAGAAAACAATCCATGAATAAAATAGAAGATCCATACCTCCATTTGATTGAATATGCTAAACAATATGACTTTATTCTCCTAATAACTCGGAAACTCTATCGATTGTTCCATTTTAAAAAAAAAAAAACAATATGGTTTAGCCAGATTTGTTACCAAAAAAAAGAAATAATCCCATGGCGTAAAAAAATTTAAACATTCAAGGGGGTGCTATAAGTTATATAAACCTTATATATTGAGTTTAAAAATATCCTATTCTGAATTAAAGTTGTTACTTCATTTGAAACTTATATATGATAAGGTTTAAGTCCAACATAACACAAACCTTACCACTAGATACCTAATTATTGAGCTACACATAGAATTTATCATCGCTTATATTTTTTTTTCTTCTAGTGCACTTTTACTTTCGTTTTTTTACTTTTTTCTGAGAAATTAGGGTAAGCGATCTATAAATGACCGTGGTCGCTTTTTCAACCGGAAAAGTTTTCGTAACATTTTAATTACTCGAAGTTTCCAAATTTTTGAAGACGCTTAAATTGAGTTAAATCTTAATTTTATATTCATCTTTACTAACGTTATTGATAAAATTCGACGAAGTTTCATTGTTTTTAGCGATTTAATTTTTGGCCGTAAAAATGTATTGGCCGTAAAAATGTAATGTAAAAATGTATTGGCCGTAAAAATGTATATATGGTTGCAACAAATTTTTTGGTCGCAAACAAGTTTTTTTCAAACTACAGTTATAATTTTTAAATACGTTTAAAAACAATGCACTCAATACGTCACATAGGGTAGGGTGGGGGAATGTGGGTCTACAAAGTATTCTGGGTCTAATTCATATTTATCTATTATATTGATAATGGTTTTAGGTATAAAGTTGTAATTACCACTTTGTTATAACATATTAGGCTGACTAATTTTAAAATATAACCTAGCTATGCTGTTAGAAACGGCACTTTTTTAGCTAAAATACTAGATACATAAACAAAGTCATTTTTTTCTCCGTTTTCAAACTTCAGAGAAAATATATTCAATAAAGGCAAAAACGTATGAAAAATGGTTATTTTGAAAGTTAAATTATTATATCTTAAGGATAGTATACCTTTAAGACACTAACGCACATGGTTGGTTTAAAATTTGAAATATAATCAAGTGGGGTAAAATGGGTTTATGTATGTAAAATATTATGATATGTAATTATATTATCGAAGTTGTTGTCAGTAACATTATAAACCTATTAGTTTCATCAGACCTAATTATTTTCGTGTTAATAACTCTTTAGAACTGTTAAACACTAATGTTTGAAGTTTATATTTTTGAAATTTATATCAAGAAACGTGTGTATTTATTTATATGAAACAATATATTCACCTAGGTCAAATAAAATATTATATAAGAACTATTTGGTGTTAATATATTTTTTTTGTTATATGTTATGATTAATGCTAATTTATTTTTTTAAAAATTTAACAGATTTTTCATAAATATTACTTTAGAAAGTATTTTAAAAATGCCAAGATGTTAAAATAAAAAAAAATAAAACCCAAGTACAATGCTGATAGTTTAGAAAAATCAATTATGTTAGTATGTGAAGAAAAAAAATCTATCATGCTGCTAAAGATTGTTCTGTACCTAAAGAAACATTGAGGTGAAGAATAAAACAACAAGAATTTAATGCAAACAAACATAAAGATCGAAAAAGTGTGCTGAGTGATAATGATGAAACTATGATTGTAGCTGCAGCTCAGTATTGTCAAAGATATGGTCTTCCATTAGATTCTCTTGACATTTGTAATTTAGTTGCTCAATTTTGCACAGCCATGAGGATGAAAACTCCTTTTAAAAATGGAATTCCTGGAAAAGATTGGATAATTTCTTTTAGGAAGTGTCATGTTGATAAACTTCGATTACGTAAACCTGAAATACTTACATTTTCAAGAGCTAAAAGTTTAACACATGAAGTTATAGATAATTTTTTTACTATTTTATCTGATGTAATCCATAATAATAACATAGTACAAAGTAGTATATACAACCTTGATGAGACTGGGCTCTCCACAAACCACTTAGCAAAGATAGTATTTGTACATCCAAAAAGCAAAGATGCTTATGAATTGGCTGCCTCTTCTGGTAAAGCTATCTATTCTGTGCTGTTCTGTGTGTCTGCAGATGGAAGATATCTTCCACCATTTGTTGTTTTTAAGGGAGAAAGCTATCTGTATTCTAAATGGATAGAAAATGGACCACTAGGATGTGCTTTTGGTGCAACAGCAAGTGGATGGATGCAAGACTTTCTATTTGAAAACTGGTATTTTACTTGAATTTTTTAATTTTCATTTTTTTTCTTCCAACTTTTTTTTTTCTTTTTTTGTTGTTGTCTTTATTGCTCTTGAAGATGGTACAAATGATTCAATAGATGTAATTACATTCTATGTTTAGGTTTGTCAAGCACTTCATACCATTTGTTGACCAAGATTAAAAACTAATACTCTTGCTTTATGATGGTCATGGCAGTCAATTAACATATGGTACCATAAAAGCGGCTATGGATAACCATATCCAAATTGCTTGTCTTCCATCAAATTGTTGACACACGTTACAACCATTAGATGTGGCTGTCTTTGGACCATTAAAGAATGAGTGGAGAAAAATTTTAAAGCGGTTTTCAAGAGAAATACAACACAAAAATATTGAAAAGAAAGCTTTTACAGGATTATTGAAACAACTGTGTCAGAGACTCTCTCCAGCAAATGTTATAGCAGGATTTCGTGGTACAGGTATCTCACCATTAAGTAAAGAAAAGGTGGAAAGAAGAAGAACAGGTATTGACTTTCTCAATCAATCACCTGAACGTTATAGCCCTAAATCTCCAAGATTACAAACAACAAGATTGGTTATGCGAGAAGCTTTAAGGTCAATTATATGTCCTAATGTATCTGCAGAAACAGCAGCAATAATAGAACAACAAAAACAAAAAAGGAAGAGAGTACAAGCAAAATGTGGAGAACTCCTTACAAATGAGAAAGTCAAACGACAGTTACTTGAGGAACAAAGAGTTAGAGAGGAAAAAAACCAAGTTAAAAAAAAATGTACAAAAAAAACTATTACCTCTACCAAAGTAGTAAAGAAATACCCAAAAAGATCTAAAAAGTGCCTAATGTTACGAATGTTACGAATGTTACGAGAAACGTGCAGTGATCATAAAAATAGTTAATTTTTATAAAACACATTAAAACATTATTATTTCTGTTATTTTCATCTTTTTTTTTCTGTTTTTTTAATTTTTATTGTTGTGCTGTGTATGTATGCACTTTCTTTTTAAATAAAAATATCTTAAGACTACTTTTTAAATTAAAACCTTGTATATATATACTATAATAAAGGTGCGGACATATAGAATGTATGTTAGATTTTTCATAAGCAGCAGTTTTTTAAACCGGAACTGCCAACAATTTATGTAGACCCACATTACCCCACTACGTGAGGTAATGTGGGTCTATTTAGGCATCTTCAAATAAAAGCTTCCCAGACCTATTGATAGTATTTTATGTAATAGTTATTTTTTAAATTTGTTTAGCAGGATGTCCAATCATGATTTTAAGACATCTTTTGTCAGAAAGCCGGTACCTAAACATCGCTTTTTTTTAACTCAAAGTCAGAAATAGGTAAAAATAGGGTCAGATTACCCCACCCTACCCTACTCTAAGCACAATAATTTATCAAATTAACGTTTTCAAATTGTAAATGATATTGAATATGCACAGGGGAGATCAGAGGCGATTCTATAAATAAATAGGGGGGGGGGGGTGAATCCTTAAAAAGTACCGACTAGTTCCTTAAAAAAGAAAAAAAAAAGGACTTCAAAACTAAAGTTTATCCAACTGAACTGACTAGCGGACTAAATTTGTAAAAAAATCTACTTCAACTTGAAAATCACCTTCTTTGGGGGAGGGTGTGTGAACACCTGCACAAGAAAAATTAATAAAAATTTTTAAAACTTTATTATTTGGCTTTTATAACGTTTAAAATAAGACTTTGTTACTGTTTAGACAATAAAATGAACCTCGGTCAACATTCTTCTAGTTAATTCAGGTAATTCTAGAAAGACTCTTTAGTTTGCCATCAACTAAATGTTTAAGTTAAAAGACAATTAACACCAATTTTGCCAAAAAAATTTGACACACCTTGCATCCAACTGCGTAAATTTATTAGGGTGATTTGAGGTCGAAACTTTAATCCATTGGCAGAAAAACAGTAGGTAACACTGATATTTTCTTTTCTTCATGCTGAATCGACAGAGCAGTAGCCAAACTATGGGCCCGCAACTGCGGGAGGGCCCAGGCAAAAGGGGGCCCATTTTCAAGTCTGAATATTATTTCTATTTGATTCTATTAAAAGATATGCACTGAAAAACTGTGATTTTTTTTTGGTTTGTTTATTATTGAAATTTCATTTTATATATTTTAGTAAAGTTTAATTTATCGATCCCTATTTTTTTTATTATATTTAAATTTCAAAGTTTTAAAAAAACGTTTTAGCCAATCATTGCTTTCAATTTTCACATTTAGTTAAACTTTCGAATGTGATAAAAAAATTCAAATGAAAATTCCACCAAGATACCAGAGAAAGTGACAGTGAAATCAGTGAACTACAAATAAATACAAATTCTCAAGTTAACAGTTTTAAAGACAATACTGTTGCATCCAATTTGTCTGATCACGACTCTCTAGATCTCATTATAATCAAGGAAAATGAACCATTTACCTCTGCATCACTAGTAAACTTTGAAGATCCTACTGATAGAGGGCATTATCCAATCGATATAGTTGATCCAAATACAAAGATATTTATTGTTGCACATGGATCATGTTGACCAAAGAGACTTTTTTCCGTGAGACAACAAAAATAGATATTTTTCTGTCAGTTGCTATAACTTGACAAAGTCAGGTTTGACTATACTGGTGACTTGGTTGTGCTATTCCAAAAATTTAAATGTTGCATATTGTGAAGTTTGCTGGTTATTTGGTGATAGAAATGATAAAAGCTATCGCAAAATTCGAAATGCCATAGTTTGTCCTGTATAATATATGAACAATGGAAACATGACAAAACATTGAATGAATCAAATAAGAAAGAAATTTAGAAAGATAATAAATTTTGGTGGGAAGTTTTGATGCGGCTTGTGAAAATTGCTCTACGTTTAGCCTGCAGTGGACAATCATTTAGAGGGCATAATGAACATATAGGTGCGGTTTATAACGGCAATTTTTTATTTGAAATTGAGCTCCTAGCAGAATTTGATCCAATAATGAATGAAATTTTAAATAAACCTAAACACAATATAAAATATTTAAGTTTGGAAATTCAAAATGAAATAATTACCGTCCTATTAGAGCATCTTGATAAACAGATTACAGAAGAAATCATGTCTACATTACTTTGCTCAATCATTGCTGATACTACTCAAGACATTACAATGAAGAACTAATTAATTTAACTATCCGCTATAAGAAAATAAATAACAATAGTGATGGAAATGCAACCGAGATATTAATAACTGAAAGTTTCATAAGTTTTTTCTGGAAACATGATCAATGTGCTTAAGGATTGTCTAATCAAATCCTTGAAGTTCTAAAAAAGAAAGGAACATCTTTAAAAAGTGCCGTGGACAGGGATACGACGGTACCAGTGTTATGTCTGGTGTTTATGGAGGTGCTCAAAAACGTATTAGTGATGAACAACCATCTGCAGTATATGTTCACTGCGCTGCATGGAGTTCCTGAAGTTGGTGATTTTTTCACTGTTCTACAAAATGTATATCAATTTTTCCGGATTAGCGTTAACAGATGGGATATGCTTAGCAGTGTAACTGAAGAATTAACAGTAACATTGAAAAAACTAAACCCGACTCGATGGGCTGAAAGAGCACAAAGTTTGCTTGATATAAAAATTAACTTTAATTAATTAATTTCAACACCTTAAAGCTATTGACTTCTATTAATCTAACATCGTTCAAAAAAGAAGAAAATGATGAATCTTTAAGACTTAGAAAATCCATTGAAAATTTTAATTTTATTTTTCTGCTCGTTATGTTTTCTAAAATACTTGTAGCAATTGACGAAGCCTCTAAATATTTACAAAAAAGAACACAGATTTGTTTATTGCCTCACAACATCTTGGAAATGCATTGGAGACGACTATAAAGTACAGACTGAATTTCGACGAAGCTGAAAAAGAAGTAGTTGCAGCTGTTAGCAAGTGGAGTATTGAAGTAAAATTTAAAGACAAAAGAGTTCCAAAATTAAAGCGACATTTTGATGAGTTAACCGATGATCAGAAATTGACTGAGCAAGACAAATTTCGAATTATTATAATTTATTATAAATGTATCTAAAATGTATCATGCTCAATTTTTATGCCAAAATTTGCGTGAAATAAAGAAAGTTTGGTAGAAAAAAAGAGCGGTCGATAGCACACGACGACCCCCACACGGTACGGACATGCATTTCTTAAAAGTGGGTCAATAATTAAAAACATAAAACTATTGTCTACCAAACTGTCATAGATTGTATGGGGTATAGGGGGGCCCTTTCGAAAGCATTGCGGGGGGGGGGGGGGGCAGTATTTGAAGTTACTCCACTGCGACAGAGTAAACATAACATAAGTCTATTTCAACCAAATCATTTTTAAGGTCTGGATTTAATTCAAAGATAGCTTCTTCAAGATTTATGAAAGAATTTGGTTTGGTAAAATGCTCTAAATATTTACTTTCCACAAAAAAATCATAAACTTTCTTAAAATAATCCTCAAGTTGACGTGCTGAAACATTGTTTCAACACCTAAAATTGACGTGTTGAAACATTGGCTACTGTTCTACTTTTAATGCTACGTTATTGTTTTGCCGTAAATAATTTTTACCAATATAAAATACCAATCAACTATTGATTTTTTTCGTGCTTTGTTATTAGAGTTCCAACTCTTCTTTTTTGTTTGTCGTTTTTTTTTTCAATCTTTTAAATGTCTTTTCAAAATAGTTTTAGGTATTTGGTATTTTTTGATGCACATAAATTGACAAACTATTTTTTATCATATCAATTAGAGCTAATTTTAATGTCCCAATAGAATATTTATTATTACCTTTTTCGAACCGTATTAATTTTAATGTTTATTTTTACATTATAAGTATAAATTTCAAAATCCAATTAACCAAATCAATTTTATTATAAAATCAGATGGAATTAAAAGCTTTAAAGTCGGACCTTTAAAATTTATAAAACTTAAGAGTTAAATGTTAAAATTCTGAAAATAAAACTTTTTTTAATTTTTTTTTGCCGCTCAAAATAAATAATTGAAAATAAGTGGCAGTGGCGTTTGGTGATCAACCAAGTTGGTGGGCTGAAAAAGATATTTAAAGTGAGCTATGGCAGCCAAAATCAGAATTTGAATAGGTAAAAACAAAAACTTTTCTAAAGTTCTGTTTCTCCGCTGACCCTGAATCTAAACCCTGAACCTAACCCTGAGTGGATTTAGGTTACTAATATCATAAGTTTTAAGGTTCTGACTTTTATAAATCTAATTATATTCTTTTATAAATCTATTTATATTCTGACGCTTAATAAATCTATTAAGTGCCCTTTTTTGTTTATTATTTTAAAAACGAATATATTTTTTCACAATTTAATAATAAAAATAGCTTAATGTTTCAGCGGAAAAACTACTAAATGTTTTTAACAATGCGAAGTATAACGACCAACAGCCGGGTTAAACTACTGTGAAACGTAAGTCACACTTGTTTCTGTTTATGTTAAACATTTAAGGGCAAAAGAAAAACAGTACGTGGTTAAATTATCAATTAAATTAACAACGCTATTTTTAGTTGATAAGTGGTTTAAGGAAGAATAAAATAGAAAGAGATTTTTAGTTGATAAGTGATTTAAGGAAGAATAAAATAGAAAGAAATTTTTAGTTGATAAGTGGTTTAAGGAAGAATAAAATAGAAAGAGATTTTTAGTTGATAAGTGATTTAAGGAAGAATAAAATAGAAAGAAATTTTTAGTTGATAAGTGGTTTAAGGAAGAATAAAATAGAAAGAGATTTTTAGTTGATAAGTGGTTTAAGGAAGAATAAAATAGAAAGAGATTTTTAGTTGATAAGTGGTTTAAGGAAGAATAAAATAGAAAGAGATTTGTGTAGAGCTAAAATAAAAAGAAATATACAGTTGAACATTCAGTAAAGCAAGAAACAGTATTCAAAAATTGTGCCTTATAAAAAGTCAATCAAAAACAGTTACGGGCTTAAAAAATTAATAATGGTTCTTAAAATTTGCGTTACATACACGATTTCAAGTTAGAAGCTTGCTTACATTCGTAATTTTTAAAGGAGATATGCATAACTTTAAAAAGTCTTAAAATTTGGTGCGATTTTAAAACTACATAGCTGGAGAAATATTTATAAAATAGATAATTAAAAAATACCTGATCCAGTCTGACCGTACGTCAAAAGAGCACAATTAATTCCATTCAGAAGTTTTGTTAGTAAATGTTGGGTAGTATGGACAAAAACCTAAATTTAAAACAACTTATTAATGTCGATAAATTGTGTAAAATAGAAAGCATTTAATACTAACTAGTAGAAAGTTAAATAAAATTATAAAATTAAAATAAACTTTTGAAAACAACACTAAAAAAATTACAATTTGATAAAACATAGTTCAATTTTTTATAGCTTTAAATCGTTTACCTTCTCGTTTGAGTCTGAACCGCTAAAAACGCCATCAAAATGGTAAGTTGTTTCTTGTGAGTGTTTTTCATCTATGACCTTTATCTTAACAATTAATTATGGCCAATATTAAAGTTTTATTTTGACAAAAAATTTTAAAGGATCTTACAACTTGTTCAAACTTATTTTTTACCCTTTTTTCGTCATCAAACGTCTCGACACAGACGTTATCTCCTCTCTCTTTTTCTTCATCATTAAACGGACGAACTCGTGCATAGACCTTTATGGGTTTTTTTTCGTCTAAAATATATGACCTTAAATTATAGTTTTTTTTTCCTAATTTAATTAAAATTTCAAACATCTTTACTTACCGTCCGCACTTAAAGGGCCGTGTATCAGTGAAGTAACTGAAGAAGAAGGCATCGTTAATGCCGAAAATTTAATTGCGTTCAAATGCAAACATAACGTTTTTTTCAAAAGAAACTAAAAAAAACTTCATTATTTACTGACAACCAAGCAAAGCGTGAGTTGTTTGCTGCAAACGCAGTTTGTTGTGTTTTCTTTTAAAATACTGCGCGTAAAGAAAGAGGGTTCTCGCAGCGGTAAAAATGCTGTTTTAATAAAATATGCGGGAAAGAAGAAGAGAATACCCAGCGTGCCAGTATTAGCACTTTTTTAAATAAAAAAGATTACCTGATCTTTTAGAACAAAACTTCGTGTAAACGATTTGGGACTCGCTTTTTTGTCGAACAAGTTTTTTTCTTTTAAAATGCATTTTCTTGTCACGTTAAATGCATAATTATAATTAAAAAATATTTGAAGATTTGTTTGTTGCGTTACGCTAAGCATCGATGCTTGTTCGATCTGTTAAACGTTGAAAGTTCGGTATAGATCTCTTTTGCTGCACTATGAGAAAACAAACAAAGCACTTAAAAATCAAAACATAATAAAGAAAATGAAGCAAATAATTTTTGGTTCGTGGTTTAAATGTTTTCATTAATTCATTTGTCTTTAGCATAATCAATTTTAAACATAATTAAATAGAAAAAAATTGGCAAAGTTTTGAACTTTTCACGCATATTACTTCACAGATTCTTTTTGGCTCATAATAATTTCGAAACAAATAAAAAAATTTACCATATATTTATTGTTAGGTTATACTGATAAATAATGTGTTGCATGATAACATTCTCTGATACAAAAAGTACAATTTTTATTTTAATTATAAGCCAGGGGATTTGTTTTCTTTATGTTTGATAATGCAACCTCATTTAATAAGAAAATAATTTTTAATTTAATTCATTAAATAAACTGATTGAATTTTATCTAACTGAATGAAGCTGATTAAATTGTTTACCTAGTTGGTATTCCAATTCATTTTTTTTTTCAGAAAAAGTTTTTAAATTTTCAACTTCAACTTTTTTAATATGGTTTTCAACTTTTAATTTTTTTTTTGGTGCTCTAAGAAATCCTTAGAGTCTTATAACAGACCACCACAGATTAACATTTAACTATGAAGTTTACGCCTCCTTTCTTACCAACGTAGTTTATCTTCCCACAGCCGACATCGAATCTCAGACCTCTTGAAGCCGGAGCGCTAACCGCTGCGTCACGGTGGCATTATTTCATTAAAATTCTTTAAAATTAGAATTTTTTATTAGAATTTTTTTTTTATGAGTTTTACTTTTTTTTCTGGAAAAATGCATTCAAAAAAGGTAAAAACAACAACAATAGATTGTTCACAGTGCCGTGGCTAGTGGGTCAAAGCCATTAGGGTTCCAAAATCTTATAAAATTGTCTACTAGGTATTACCAAAAAAAAAGCTCCTTAAATATGCAAAAACGGCCACTAAATTTCTAAATAGGCCCCCTAAAATTGCTGTGCCTCCCCCAATATTTTTTGGAAGGAGGATGGGGAGTTTAGCCACGGCTCTAATTGTTCACAACTGACATCAACGGTAACCGAAATTATCTCCAACATGCATTGAGCGCAACCTTGGGGTACTATTATCCGAAGTAATACGTATAATAATAAGTACTAATAATACCTAAAAGTGAAAGCAAAAGTAGGAACCGCAGCTTCGGCCGGAAATCGAATGCTTGGTCGCCTCAAAATGACATTTCAATGCCGTAGCCTCCAGTTTTCGAAAAAATTGTACCAGCTATACGTTCGACCACAATTAGAGTATTGTGTACAAACCTGGCTTCCACATATAAAATCGGAAATTGTACTTCTCGAACGTGTGCAAAAACGTGACTAAAAAAAAAAAAGACTATATTGTGAGACAGTGCAGAGACTTCCGCAATGGCTGACGCTTATATATAACGATTATATAACGATTTTATAAATAAATTAAAAAAAAAAAGAAAGAAAGAAAGATAGAGAAAAAATAATAAAATAAGAAAAATAAATATAAAGAGAGTGAAGATAAGAAAAAGAAGGAAACGAAAAAGCAAAAAACAAACAAAAATCCAAATCAAACAAACTAACAACAAAAAAAAAAAAAAAAAAAAAAGAAACGAGAAAAGAAAAATAAAAAAAAGACAAAAATCCAAAGTAAAAGAAAAAACATTTGAAAATGAAAAGTAATTAAATGCAATTAAAATAAAATATAAAAATTGCTCCGTTTTTGAAGAAACGTTAAAGAATATTTTTTAAATTTTATTAATTTTGAGGGACGTTTGTCCTTTTTGTTGTTGTTTTTTGTTTTTGTATTCTTGTGTATTGTTAATTGGGCATTGAAGAGTATAATTCATTTTGTTTGCATCGTATGTTTTTTAATTTAAATTTTTTTAATTTTATGTTGTTGGACATTTAAAAAAATGTATATATTTTTAAAGCTGTATATGTATCTATATGTGTATGTATACATAGCTATGTGAGTGCATGTACGCGCGCGTGTGTATTTACGTGCAAATATGTATCTATGCATGTGAGTAAGTATGTGTATATATCTTTATATTTGTGTTTGTGTGTGCATGTAACAATATTAAACTTTATCATTTTTTTTAATGCTTTTTTGTTTTTCTTTATTTTATTTTTAATTTTTATCATGTTTTTTGTTATAGTTTTAGTTATATTTATCGTAGCCACAAATATTACTATTTTTAACTTTACTATCAATATTCATATTTTATTATTTTCAATTTAAATAAATACTTTATGTTCTTGTTAGTTATTACGTTTTATCAGTCAATTGTTGGTAACTAACTTATATGTATATTTAACTATTGTGTTTATAAAAACAAGTGACTTATTATTTGATTATTTTTTTAATAGAATTAATATTATGATTGTTATTGTTGTTGTTTGTTTTATTATTATTGGGGTTCTTATGTTTATTACAATAAATATTATTTTTATTATTATATTTATTATTCTTATAATTATTATTAACTATATATATAAAGATCTATATTTTTGGTGTTTACTTGATATTAGTAGAATTACTATTTGTAAATATCCATGAAACTATTTTTTCAGAATATATATATATATATATATATATATATATATATATATATATATATATATATATATATATATATATATATATATATATATATATATATATATATATATATATATATATATATATATATATATATATATATATATATATATATATATATATATATATATATATATATATATATATATATATATATATATATATATATATATATATATATATATATATATATATATATATGTCGGTTAAACATTTTAAACTACAAATACTAGGTGTAACCACGCTGGAAGAACGCAAAATTCGCAGTGACCTTATACCACAATACAAAATCGCTCATCAGCTACAAGAAGTTGAATTTTACCTACCACAAATACAGCCTTTCTTATTAAATTCACGATATAATCTGAGAAAAAACAGCCGATGTGTAAAAGCATAACTGATCAAAAGTTATTCAGAACGTCAGCACTTCTTTACAAACCGTGTTACTAACCGATGGAACAAATTAGCTCAGGATGTAGTTGATGTACCCACAGTACACTTTTTAAAAAAGCACGTTTAAGAAGCTACGTCGGTTGCAGCAATGTCCATCGTCAGCATAGGAAAGCCTGGTGTGCTTCCCTTCACCAATTCTAAACTTTATATGATTACTGGAACAAATAAAATAAATTTAAGTAACTAAAAATTAAAGAGCTAAAAAAAAATTTAAATAACTAAAAATGAAAATCAAATTTTTTTTTCATTGTTAATAATATTTTTATAAACTTTACATACTTTGTTCATTTTTTTTTAAAATAATTAGAACAGAAAAAACGGGCGGCGAAATTACCCCAATAAAATCTAATTTTGGGGAATTCTGCCACCTATGTTATTTACAACATAAATGTTTTATTTTAAATCATAAATCTTAAAAACACATTTACACTCAATTAAATAAAAGAAATCTAACAATATTCAACAAGTTGGGGCAAGGCTTCGATACCGAGAGGAATCGGGGCATGTCCCTTTTTTACCAATTTTTTCTTTTTTTTTTTTAGAAATGTAGGGTATTTTGAAAGCCTTGAAGACGGTCCTGGCGAGGGGGAGATTTATTTGACTAAAATAAAAGTTTTAAAATAATCAAGCAAACTTAAAAAAAAATCAATTTACAAATTTTTATACAGAGATAAGAGATGAAGAGATAAAAATAAAAAGTTAAAAGAGATAAAAATAAAAGAGATAAAAAAAAAAAGAGATAAAAAAAGAAAAAAAAAAAGAAAAAAAGAAAAAAAAAAAAGAAAAAAAGAAAAAAAAAAAGAGATAAAAATAAAAAGCAATAAAATTCTATTGTATTTTTTTTTGGGTCAACATTTTTAACAAACCCATTTTTGACAAGAACTTTTTACACATTGCAACCAAATGTTTTCTGATTAGTTGTTGCATTATTGAATGGCTTTTAACACTTTGCTTTTTTTTTTTTTATAAAAATATTATTAACAATGAAAAAAAAATTTGATTTGAATTAATTCTTTGCTATATTTGAATTTCTGTTTTCGCTGTGGTCATTTTCTTCAGTGCCAATCAACAGTTTTCTTTGCTTTGACAGTTGATTTTGGTTTTTAGCTTGTTTTTTAGCAGCATTTTTCAAAGTTGTTTGAAGTGTTTTAAAAAATCCATCAATCACTTGGTTAGTGAAGCCATTCGTGCTGCTGAAATGCTTAGTGCTTTACGTTGGCTTAATTAATTTGACCAGCGTTGTTTGAAACCTAGGTACCACTCGTTTGTTGACATTTTATTCTTGAATAAGGCAGTTTGACTTGTTTCTTTCATATAGTTGAACACCACAGATTGAATTTCTGGAAACGATAAGCCATTGCCCCAGTCACCAAGAACCTGAAGTATGTGAACCAGTAAGGATTCAGTCACATAGTTAAAAAAAAGCTATTCTTTCTGGATATTGAATTTTTCCTCCTAGTGTCCTTTGAGGTATATAGTATAATTCATCAGCTTACTTGCAACTCAGTTCGCAAATGTAACTTTTGCAATGGCTTTTTCCATTAGCTCTTTGCTAAAAATGGTGACAGATTTTCTCTTGTAGTTTCGTGGCA